TAGGAGTAGAGGGTCGCTATTCATAATACGAAATGAGGTTCGCTATTCATAATACGAAATGAGGTTCGCTATTCATAAAACAAAATGCAGTTCGCTATTCATAATACGAGATAAGGTTCGCTATTCATAATACGAAATAAGGTTCGCTATTAATAACACGAAATGAGGTTCGCTATACATAATATAAAATGAGGTTCGCTATTCATAATACGAAATGAGGTTCGCTATTCATAATAGGAGAATAGGGTCGCTATTCATAATACGAAATGAGGGTCGTTATTCATAATAGGAGAAGAGGGTCGCTATTCATAATAGGAGAAGAGGGTCGCTATTCATAATAGGAGAAGAGGGTCGCTATTCATAACATGAATTGAGGGTCGCTTTTCATAATACGAAATGAGGGTCGCTATTCATAATCGGGGAAGAGGGTCGCTATTCATAATACGCAATGAGGGTCGCTATTCATAATAGGAGAGGAGGGTCGCTATTCATAAAACGAGAAGAGGGTTGATATTCATAATACGAAATGAGGCTCGATATTCATAATCGGAGAAGAAGGTCGCTATTCATAATACAAAATGAGGGTCACTATTCATAATACGCAATGAGGTTCAATATTCATAATAGGAGTAGAGGGTCGCTATTCATAAAACGATAAGAGGGTTGCTATATAATACGAAATGAGGCTCGATATTCATAATAGGAGTAGAGGGTCGCTATTCATAATACGAAATGAGGGTCCCTATTCATAATACGAAATGAGGTTTCGATATTCATAATTGGAGAAGAGGGTCGCTATTCATAATACAAAATGAGGTTCGATATTCATAATACGAAATGAGGGTCGCTATTCATAAAACGAAATGAGGTTCGTTATTCATACTAGGAGTAGAGGGTCGCTATTCATTATAGGAGTAGAGGGTCGCTATATATTCATAATACGAAATGAGGGTCGCTATTCATAATAGGAGAAGAGGGTCGCTATTCATAAAACGAAATAAGGTTCGCTATTCATGATATGAAATGAGGGTTGCTATTCATAATAGGAGTAGAGGGTCGCTATTCATAATACGAAATGAGGTTCGCTATTCATAATACGAAATGAGGTTCGCTATTCATAAAACAAAATGCAGTTCGCTATTCATAATACGAGATAAGGTTCGCTATTCATAATACGAAATAAGGTTCGCTATTAATAACACGAAATGAGGTTCGCTATACATAATATAAAATGAGGTTCGCTATTCATAATACGAAATGAGGTTCGCTATTCATAATAGGAGAATAGGGTCGCTATTCATAATACGAAATGAGGGTCGTTATTCATAATAGGAGAAGAGGGTCGCTATTCATAATAGGAGAAGAGGGTCGCTATTCATAATAGGAGAAGAGGGTCGCTATTCATAACATGAATTGAGGGTCGCTTTTCATAATACGAAATGAGGGTCGCTATTCATAATCGGGGAAGAGGGTCGCTATTCATAATACGCAATGAGGGTCGCTATTCATAATAGGAGAGGAGGGTCGCTATTCATAAAACGAGAAGAGGGTTGATATTCATAATACGAAATGAGGCTCGATATTCATAATCGGAGAAGAAGGTCGCTATTCATAATACAAAATGAGGGTCACTATTCATAATACGCAATGAGGTTCAATATTTATAATAGGAGTAGAGGGTCGCTATTCATAAAACGATAAGAGGGTTGCTATATAATACGAAATGAGGCTCGATATTCATAATAGGAGTAGAGGGTCGCTATTCATAATACGAAATGAGGGTCCCTATTCATAATACGAAATGAGGTTCGATATTCATAATTGGAGAAGAGGGTCGCTATTCATAATACAAAATGAGGTTCGATATTCATAATACGAAATGAGGGTCGCTATTCATAAAACGAAATGAGGTTCGTTATTCATACTAGGAGTAGAGGGTCGCTATTCATTATAGGAGTAGAGGGTCGCTATATATTCATAATACGAAATGAGGGTCGCTATTCATAATAGGAGAAGAGGGTCGCTATTCATAAAACGAAATAAGGTTCGCTATTCATGATATGAAATGAGGGTTGCTATTCATAATAGGAGTAGAGGGTCGCTATTCATAATACGAAATGAGGTTCGCTATTCATAATACGAAATGAGGTTCGCTATTCATAAAACAAAATGCAGTTCGCTATTCATAATACGAGATAAGGTTCGCTATTCATAATACGAAATAAGGTTCGCTATTAATAACACGAAATGAGGTTCGCTTTACATAATATAAAATGAGGTTCGCTATTCATAATACGAAATGAGGTTCGCTATTCATAATACGAAATGAGGTTCGCTATTCATAATACAAAATGAGGTTCGCTATTCATAATACGGAGTGAGGTTCGCTATTCATTATACGAAATGAGGTTCGCTATTCATAATACGGAATGAATGAGGGTTATAATCCATAATACGGAATGAATGAGGGTTGTCATTCATAAAAATTTAATAGGCCTAAGCAATAAGCAAAAAGCTAATAACAAATGGAAATATTTGAGTGAAGACACCCCCACGGCTGGGCCTGTGGCTAACCTGCTCGTTGGAAATCTTTCCCCGCCACCCTGCCCCCGACTGATTTCATCCAGGCTACGCCACTGAGACATTAAGTAGACCAAGCAGGCCCATAATCATACTTTTAAGGACTGACTTTGCTATTAAAGAAACTAGTAATTGTTTAATATATATTGTTGGGGGATAGGGGGCTCGAACACTTTCGGGCCTTCGAAGGTTTTCGCGTCATGTAAAGCGTACAAAGAGGTAATGCAATCCGAATATAAAACAAATATTTATTGTCTTTTTTTCTGTTGAGCGTGAGGGCGATGGTGGTTGTGATGGGTAAGGAGGTCTGATAAGGTCTATATAGTACAACAAAATTAAAGTAAAACAATGCCGTGAGAACTGTGTTTTTGTTTTATTTGGGGATGGGATATCTAGCCCTCGTAGCAACAAGGGGGTAGGATATAATTATATATACAGAACAAACACAGGAAAAATATAATACAGAATGTAAACATAAATATTTCATTTCTTTTCATTTATTTTCCACATTAAAAACCAGAAAAATATACAAGGTAACAGAATACATTGTATCGTCCCCGAGCCCCCAAATAATTAATATCATAACATAACAATGATTTATTTTTCTTCTGGTACGAATGCAATTTCTGGTACAGGTTTTGTAAGGACCTACTGAACGACGTTAGGGTTGGAGCCCCCAACAAAACATTTATATAAGGTGTGATTTGGGGCGGGGGGCGTCCTACCAGAGCCCCTGTGTTAGATATCATTAAAGATCACATTGGTTTGTGGTTATATGACAGCCTGTTTTGGTACTGGGCTGTCTTTGGACCTATTGAACGATATTAAGGAAGGAGCCCTCGGCAAAACAATCACATAAGTGTGAAGAGGGTTTGGACGTTGTTCCGGAGCCCGCGCTTTGATTTTTTTGTTTACCTTAATACTTTGCATACTGTGGGGGTAGAATGTTGTGAATTGCCAGTAATTAGTCTTTACAAAACAGAACATGTTCATGTCAGGTGGCTAAGCGTTACTATCAACTAATCATAGCATAGGAGCCCTTCGGAATTTTTGAAATCATGGGGATGCCAGTATCAATGGATGCCACAGATTTCCCGGATGTGACACATGCAGCTGTGGCTGGCGGCAGGATGAAATCTTCAATCCTGGAAGTCAAAAAGGCAAACGCCACTTTCTTGTTGAGCGGGTCGCTGAGAAAGACAATTCAATTGCCTGGTAGTTTGTTCTCACTCGATACTTTCCTGCGCACACCCTTGCCTCTCTTTTCTCGGGTAGATTCTTTCAAGCTATCTGGAATGTATGTGTTCCACACAACATCCAACCTCATGGCGTCCTGAAGCTGCTTTTCCGGGTAAGGGACGAATTCCCGGTCTGCATACTCATGGAAGGTGCTGACGCTGGTAGTGGGCAGACAGTGTACGATGACGGCACCATCCGGGACTTTGCAGTCATAGGTTGAAGGTGGCTCTAATTGACCAGATTGCTCAAGACGTTTTAGCAGGTCTGACGTCGTGCTGGGCAAATGAAGCTTGTTAAAGTCTGAGAGGGAAGGAGTGAAGGACTGTATCTCATGTGCAAAGAACTCTGCCAAGTCACCATCCCGGTTTTGCATAGATATGTACAGCTGGCCGAAGAGTGCCACGTCGTTTGATGTACTTTGATCTTCTTCCCCTGCTTAGATGCTACCTTACGTTTAGGTCTACTGAATAGTGCTAGGGAATTCCTCGTGACTGGGTCATGGATGGAGTGGCTGCGCACGTCATGCACAATCTTGACAAAGTTCTTGTACTGTTTCCTGCCTGTATCCTTCAATGTGTGCAATGCGGCTACCACTGATTCATCCTCGCAGTTGCAACTGTTAATAGATACTAGTTCTGAGAAATCATCCAAGAAGGGATTGCCCATTCGTCTGATGGTATCGGAGAGGCTGACAATCTGTCGCTGGAAGCTCAGTTCTGTTTTGAGAGAACCTGCTCGTGATGCTGGAAGTTCTCTGGGATTTCTGTGTCATCATCAGTAAGGTATTCTTCTTCGAATTGCTTTAGCAGCCTGGACATCTCTGGTCCCGAAAGCATCCATCGTCGAAAAGCCACAGGGCTTTCTGTGAGTCCAACAACTCTACCAGAACCTTTCACAATCTTGTTCTCCTGCTCATGAGCTTGATCAAATGGGATTTCAGAGAATTTGTTACTTGTCTTGGAAAGGACCCAGTGAGAAAAATTCTCAAACTCATCTTTGATAGTGTCGGGTAAGGACTTCATATCTCTGATGTGGACTGGCATCCACCGTGAGTAGTTTACATGATCCAAGGCAATTAAAAGAACAGTGTTGTGAGTTCCTCCAAGACTTCAACATAAAAAGGGAAATTCTTCTCTCTGTGAGCCATGATGAAGATAAGAATGAGGGTTCATATCTCATGATCAGGTCCCAGTACATGAAAGTATAGGACTTCTCTTCTGCATGTTGTTTCTCCAAGCCGTGGCAGACTCTTCATCTTTGGGTCCTTCGCTGAGCATGAAAGCTTCACTCTGAAAATTGTGCAGAGTCAAGAGAGTGATATGGTGCGTGCGCCTTGTTCGAGTTTATTTATTTATTTATTTATTTATTTATTTCGGTTTAAAAAGACATATAAATATACATGATTCAAAGGTCCAAGGACCAAACTGTTCATGTTTACAAATTATACAATACGGTTATAAATAAAGTAAATATACAATAGTGAGCCAAACGAAAGGTATGACAAGTACAATACGAAATAAAGATGACAAAAATAATTCAATTCCATCAATACAATACCAAAATAAACTAAGAGAAAGTAGGGTCAGGATCATCAAATTACTAAACTGATATATGGTAATAGTAGTAGATAAACAGACAAAACTAATGTTGAGCAACCAAACAATCAAAGAAAAAAGGTGGAAAAATATTTTGAAGATAGGCAACGATAAAAGCCTTAAAACCTGAATTAACATAATTACGTTTGAGTTGATAAGATAACCACACAGAAATATATAAATTACAAATTGGAATCGACTTTAAAAATTAGTTATACAATGCCATTATTAAAATATTACGTACACCAAATTGTGAATGTGTCAATTAAAAGATTCTGAGGAATAAGGCAAGGGGGAGAGAGAGAGATAGAGAGAGAGAGAGAGAGAAAGATGATAGAGATAGAGATAGATAGAGAGAGAGAGAGAGAGAGAGAATCAAGGCTTATTAATTGCACGAACAAGAGAAGGAACAGCAGAATTTTTATATCGGCTAGTCCTGCACCTAGGAATGACCAAACCATGATTATTACGGAGGGGGCGAAAATTGGGCAAGGAATCTTTAGATGGTGGAAGTAAGTTTCTGTGTCGGGACGTCAGTAACGAGTGGGCAAACTTAGCATCAAGCTCTATTCTTCTTGCTTGAAGGGAGGGCAGATTTAGACTCTCTAGCCTTTCATCATAGGTGAGAGGGGTGAAACCGAGAATGATCTTGGTCACACGTCTCTGAACTCTCTCAACTTTCTCAGACTGTTGACAAGTAATTGAAGAAGACCAGACAGGTGAGGCATACTCTAGAATGGGACGGATATGGGATGTGTAAATGGTAACTAGATCACTACAGGATGCGTTGTATTTCTTTAAGATACACAACATAAACAATCGTCTCGAAGCTTTTTGAACGACGAGATCAATTTGTTGACCCCACTTCATATTACATTGCAAAGTAACTCCTAACAGTGACAGGTGTGTGACTTCCTGAAGAACAGAATCGCCGATCTTGATTTCAGGGAAAGGTGGAGGGTTTCGCATGAAGCATATATTAAGGATCTTACATTTTGACGGTTTAGGCGTCATGTGATTTGTGCTGGACCATTGGGTTAGCTGGGAGACCTGATCTTGCAATTGTGATTGCTGAGTATGTTTTCTGAATTCTGCTAGGGTAAGGTCGTCAACATATTTCCATCTATTTGGGGTGAAATCTGCAGCATCATTGATCATGATCAGAAAAAGGATTGGGCCAAGCTTGGTGCCCTGTGGGACACCACATGTTATGGATTGAACTTGAGAGGTAATGCCACCAAGGCGGACAGTTTGGGATCTGTTACTCAGGAAGTCACACACAACGGAAATGATAGATTTACTGACACCCATATTTATCATCTTAGTTACTAAAACGGTATGATCGATAGCATCAAATGCTTTGGCATAGTCAACAGTGCAAATTGATGCAATCGTTCCCGATTTGTCAGTTTCACGCAAAATACAATCAACCAGGCTGAGGAGGTAATGTACAGTGGAAGAGCCTCTGACACTGCCAAACTGACGGGGGTCTATATGATCGGCAATATCACGTCTAATCCACTCCACAAGAAACTCCTCAAAGACGCGAGCAAAGACTGGTGTTACAGAGATAGGACGTAACTGATCCAGAGAATTGCATGGGTTTACTTTAGGAATCGGAATGATGTTACCGATTTTCCAATACTCTGGAAACATACCCGATTGTAGACAGGAATTGAAAATGATAGATAATGGTACAGATAATTCGACAGCAAACTCACGAACAAGTCTCAAAGGAATATCATTAGTATGAGATGACTTTGAGATCTTCAGTTTCTTCAATTTATTGTACACTTGGTAAGGTTGGATTTCCGGTGGTGAATCAGCTGGCAAGTACGCCGGAAGAGACTTGCGATCCAGGGGTGGTAGGGAGGAACAGACATTCGCAAAGTGGGAATTTATCCAGTCAGCCTGCTCGGCGGGTGCCATATGAGATCCAGGTAGCTTATTTGATGTCTTTTTTACACTAGTAATGTTACGGATCTCCTTGTACCATTTCCCAGGTTGTGATTTCTTCAGGTGTGACACCTTTCCAAGGAAGAATTTGCTCTTGGTAGCTTTAATTTCCTGCTCTACTTGCTTTCTGAGTTGACTATAACGTGGAAGGTTTCCTGATTGATAGGCAGCTTGGCGTTGGTCGATCAGAGAACGAATACGATTGTTCATCCAAGGCTTATCATCTTCTCTCCGTACAAATGTAATCTGAGGGAAGCATCTCTCATAAGCCGTGGTTAGCTCATCTTGAAATGATACCTGCATATCAGCAGCATTTTCAAGATCAAGTAGCCAACTCCAATCTACAGAGGTCAGCCACTGGCCAAAGGACCTGATAGAAGAATCTCTAATGGGGCGGATTGATATCTTCTGTCGCTTCGGTTTGGGAATAGTGGCCTTCGGAGAAACAATGATCGTTCTATGATCACTGTTACGAATCGGGTTGATGACTGCTGGTCGGTTGTAATCATCAGCGATATTTGTCAGGACCTTGTCTAAGACGTTGTCGCCTCTCGTAGGTTTGTCAACAATCTGGGAAAAATCGATTTCGGATGCTAGAGAATCGGTATCCATGTCATTGAAATCTCCCAAGATCACAATGCCAGATTCAGGAAATCGAGTGTGAATATAATCCACTGTTTCAACCAGTGAATCGTTAAGATCTTGGTGAAAGGGCGAATTGGGTGGTGCATAAACAGCAGCTACAAACATTGTATGGAGCTTCTGAGAATCCAATCTAATCCATAGGACCTCGAGCTCGGGTGACGTCGCATTATCAAGAATGGTAACATTAAGATCAGATCGGGTGTAGATTGCGACGCCGCCACCTTGACGACCTCTGCGATCACGACGATGAAGCGCAAATCCAGGAATATGGAATTGTTCATCAGGTTTAGAGTCATTCAGCCAGGTTTCACATAGAACTGCAATATCAGTTTGATTAACATTCATTGTAACAATCAAGTCATCTAATTTATTTGATAGTGATCGAAGGTTACTCAACAAAATTGATGGGTATGGAGTTCTCTTTGTAGAACTTGAGATATTATTTGCATTGATATCTGTCTGAATTGTAATAAGATTGTTAGCACAAACGTTCCTTTTATTCAGATTTCGGGCCTTAGGATATCTCGAAACATTACATACGGAGTTAATCGGCCGATGGTGTGCTGCCTTCAGATACGAATCGGTCGTACCAGATAACGCTACCTCTGCCTCTGTGAGGGCTGTAGTCCAGCCAAAACTTTCTAAGACATCTTCAAGTGTATTACATATTGCCATTTCTACATGTGTGCAGACCACCTAGCATAACCACATGCACTCTCTCACGATGGGTGTCTGGCCATTTCCACTGTACAAACTTTGCCAGGGCAAACAGAGGCTGGTCAAATGTAGTGACTGGGATTTTTCCTGGGTCCAGAAATTCAACAGCTTGCCTCTCGACACCATTGCCATGCTTAAATCATAGCAGGAGTTGCAGACTGCTCATAAAACAGAGGATCGAAGGAGTGCACATTGTACTGGAGGGTCTTCTACCGGAGGTTGATTAGAGACATGATAGGCAGCCCATTAAAATGGTTTCTCCACTGATGAGTTCTTTTGCCTCTAGAAGTGGCAGTGAATGCATTATCCAGCTGTGTTCCCCTGCTCTAGCTGCATCTAAGCACCTCTCGACTGGAAACACTTCACTTTCTGGAACCGCAACAGCAGTTGTCTTCAAAGCTTTGGCTGGTACATTGGCGTAGCGATCAGGAAGAGCATGCTTTTCATTCCCAGAAGGTGGTATCACAACAGGTGCTCTGCTCTTACCAGGTTTGACCTTGGTAGGCAACTGTAAAAGGCTGATTCCAGTCCCACGGAATAATGTTTTGGAAGTGGCTCGGGTTGTGGTCTAGGTTATCGAGGGCGCCAACAGTGAGCACACCTTTCCAGAGGCTAGCCGGAGACACCATTCCATCTTCTCCAAAGCATTCACAGGTAGAAGTTGCGATCCATTCCTCAATCTCCATAATGCTGTCATAAGAAATGCTGATGCCAAAGTGATATCACTGCGTGGTGAGTCTCTTGCTTCTGGTCAGTGCATGCATACTGATGCCAATATAGACGATTCACATACAGATAGTGAACCTCATTCAACTTGAAGAGGAGAGTTCCAGAGTCCACACATTTCTCAATGTAGCTGGTCAGTTCCACAAATGCCCAAGACTTATTCATTTTTTCATCAGCAGCCCATTGTATATACCGTAGGTTTATGGTTCAATAATTACTTTGGTGAAACTGCTTGTATATTTCACTTGTAGTATTGCAATTTATCAAAAATTTGATTTCCATTTTTTAATGGCCTCTGCACAAATATTTCGTAACCATTATTAACTTTCTATGATTCCCAGGAATGAGTGGAATTATGTCACAAATGTTGGCTAACTTGAAATTCTGTATTTTACATGATTTTTTTCAAAAAATTCCGAAGGGCTCCTAGGCTATGATGAGTTGATAGCAACGCTTAGCCACCTGACATTAGCGTGTTCTGTTGATAAGACTAATTACTGGCAATCCACAGTATGCAAAGTATTAAGGTTAAACAAAATCAACGCCGGGGCTCCGGAACAACGCCCCGACCCTCTTCACACTTATGTGATTGTTTTACCGGGATCTTCTTCCTTAATATCGTTCAATAGGTCCTAAGAGAGCCCTGTACCAAAACAGGCTGTCATATAATCACAAACCAATGTGATCTTTCATGATATCTAACACGGGGCTCTGGTACGACGCCCCCCGTCCCCAAATCCCACCTATATAAATGTTTATTGGGGTCTCCGACACCCTAGCATCGTTCAGTAGGTTCTCAAAAGCCCTGTACTAGAAATTGCACTAGTACAAGAAAAGAAATCAATGTTATTTTACCTTATATGTTATTTGGGGGCTTGGGGACGACGCCCCACACCATTATATGAAATTATTACCAGGAGGTTCCACCCTCCTTTCTTTCAGTAGGTCCTAAGGCAACTCTGTACAAAAAACAGGTAGTCGTATAACCACAAACCAATGTGATCTTACATGATATAATTTTGGGGCTTCGGTACGACGGCCTAGCAAGTTGTATGTACTTGTGTTTACGCGCACGTGCGCGTTTAAATATCACCTCTGTATGCACATGTGTACTTCGCAGTCACCCCCACCCTTTTCAAAAGTGTAAAGTAAAGTCTGCTCTAAAGGCAATTAATCACGCGATATTGATGTCAAATTTGAAGGCGCCAATTTTTTTTTACAGTGGCTGAAATATTGGTATATAAATCCTGCAAACCTCAGAGACAATGAATTCAAGTCTCTTTATTCCGACATTTTTTACGTCGTCAGAAATTTCATCCCGGAAAATTGCGATTCCTAAAAACATTGACGAATTTCATCTTTTGATGTGGCGTGGCTGCTTTATTCAGAAAGTTTGGATTGAAAAATGGGGCATGCGACTTATTGCCTCCGTTCCTCACAGCTATCGTCTTTTCAATTGATGCCGACATAACCCACAAAAGGCGGTAAGTCTATTTTGTGGTATTGGAGAAGCGTTGTGGTCTTTGGAGTTTGAGTCCCTGCCTCAGCACTAACGTCCTTTGAAAAGACATTCATTTGAATTTGCCATACACGACCCATGGGTAGATGGAAGGAATTAATTCTTTGAAATGCGCGAGCTCCATATAATGACAGCCATGATAAAGCCTGGGTGCTTGCGGAACGCCAGGAGTGGCATACACATGAACGTTAATTAAAATCATACTTAATGCATGACTGTTTTTATCTGGTGTTTCTGCTACGCATTTATTTATATTTCATTGATAAATTGAATGTTTGCGAAACTAAATTTGTGGACAAAAACTGAATTAAAATACATGTAGCCTAACACAATACTAGCACTGAGCAAGATGTTCCAGAAAGGAGGACATTCATGCAAGTAAGAATGACATTGTTTCCTATATGTTTTTTTTCAAAGCTTATATAAACAAATGAAAAAGGAAGAAAGAAGCTTTACTGCTGGTCATGAAACTGATATTTTATTTCACATTGTGTTTATATTTAAAGATTTTAATGATAAAATGCCATTATGATAATTTTCATTCTTCATTGTACATGTATAAATGCAGTGATGCTTTGCATATTAAACTATAAAAATCTTAAAACCTTGCCTGAAATTATACCTTTTTTCATTTTTTTTGTATTTCTTCGTTGACACACGCCTTAATTCTTTCTCGTTTATGATAAATGACTCGTGATTGAGGTCTAATCATTGAATTATTTTTAAATGCTTCTTAGGCCTTTAACATCACATTCTCTACAATGTAGAATGATTTAATCAATCGCCTTTGAATTGTTATTTTTTAATCTGTCCCACTGTTACAGATGTCATCATGGATATTTTCTTTCGTTTCCGCAAATGTCTGTTGTATTAAATATCTAATAGCTAAGATAAGTGGCTGGTTGTCACTAATTTGTACACCGAATCGAATCTCCTATCAACAAAATACAATGTTTCATGGGCTTTTCCATATCTGCTTTGCTTATCTTCCATTTCAGACCCTATTGAAAATGGCACCGAGAAGGATTTCTATTCGCTTGGTGTTGATAACCGCGTTGGTTGTTTTAGTGTTTACCTACTTCTTAATTGCCCAGGGTGAGTAGGAACCACGTGTACTCTGTAAAGCCCATTAATGTAAAAAATAAAACAAAATAAACACCATGTAGAAATAACCACAAATGTTTTCTAACATGTTTCACAAGTGTAAAATATGTTTAACCACGAATATAAAACATTGTTAACAAAAATCAATTCTTGCTATATAATTATGTGGTTATTTTCATATTTGTGGTTGACGTGTTATAACATTTGCTGTTATCCTGCCATTTGTGGTGCAATATTTTCACATCTGTGGTGAATATTTTATATTTGTGTGCCCTACAGACCTCAGTTGTGTTTGTGACTTATATGAATGAAATTAGCCCACATCAAATTAATACCAATTCGAACAATCAGAAAAATTGGGTTAACTTCGAACCATCGGGTCTTCACGTCGGATGCACGAAAATATGTGAGCACATATCCCCTTCTTAACAAAAGGTTTTATAAATCGAGTGCAAATAATCATTTTGTTGTTGTTGTAATACTTAAACTATTCAGTTTATTGTTTCGTATTTCTTATGTATCCCACACTATTGCAATGATTTCTCAAAATAAATTATACAAATAAACATGAATTCTATTAGCACAAGACAGAAAAAGTACCTCAATCAGTCAGTGTTTGAATGCATTGAATAAAAAAAATAAAAAAATGAAATCAGAACTGGAAAAAAAAATGAAATATAGATGGGCCTATTAAGCTAGGCTTGTGAATTACATGCCCCTTTTGTGCATCTTTCTTTCTTTTTGCTTTATAATATAATTGTCCTCCATTTTTTCCTCTTTTTTATAAAAAATTTCCCCTAAAATTTAGAATTTATTAGCTACATATTATTTCTATTTATAGATTTCTTAGCATACTTTGTTTATGCTATATTGTAATACAGTATTTGAGGAACTAACACTTCAACAAGCTCTGCTTCAAGTTATTTCCTCTTTTCTCGTGCTTTTTTCCCATTATATTTGTCGTTTCATAGCATATTTTTTTGTCATATAATTATTCTTGTATTATGTTTTGAATGAGAAATAAAATCATTTGAATTTGATATGAAAAAGGTAGTTAATTTCATGAAAGTCTTTAAAAGTAGAAAGAGCGAGTAATCAATGTCAATCACAGTTATATAATACGTATTCCAAAAAAGGGAAACGTCAGAGTCATTTTCATTACAATAATGTAACAGATTATATATTTTTAAAAAATGTGCATTACCTGTACATACTAGCATTTCCTGTACGTCTTAGCAACTACTAAAACAACTACAAAATCAGAAAAACAATATTAATGCCCTGAAGCGTGTGGCGAACATGACGAACGGAAACAAGACAAAACTCTCCCCTCCCCCCCCCCCCCCCCAGCAGCGACAGCACACATTATAAACAAAACTACCGCTTTATCAGGCAAGGTACAATTTTGATCCGATCCGGCAAGAATCAATACACCGTGGCTACTGGGGCACAGCAATTCGCCACAGGGGAATTCAATAAAATTGACCTTCAGATAAATGGCATAAACATAGGTGGGATAGAAAAAATGGAAAACGGGCTGTATAATCATTTAGAAGAAAACGTTTCAAATTTCCGTTTGAATACAAAACACGAGATAGATTCACTTATTTCAGTTGGGAGTTTATTCCAATACTTTGGTCCTTAAACAAACAGTTTTCTTTGCAAATATTGTTCGAGTTGGTGGTAAATGGAAGGGATTACTTTGGCATACAGGAGTGTAGTGCAGAAACAATCACGGGTAAATCATCTATAGATAATTGATTCATAAATATTCCTTCCTTGTAATTTGTAAGAGTTTATTCTAAAAGAAAAATAGGTAGTATGCAGAGGAATCCAGCAATACTAATATTTATCATGGCTTGTTTTTGAATGATGATTATGTTTTCTAGTTTAGTTTTGGCCCAATTCCAAGAATACCATCATTGAGATAAGGTAGAATTAGAGTGGTACCCATAGGAAAGTGTAAAGTATGCCGCAGACCTGCCGCAGATCTGCCGCAGAGTATGCCGAAGTATGCGGCAGAAAGAAATTTTGCTGCAGACTTGCCGCATACCAGTATGCCACAGGAACAGTCTGCGGCAGATCTGCGGCAGGATGAAATTTTGCTGCAGACTTGCCGCATACTAGTATGCCACAGGAACAGTCTGCGGCAGATCTGCGGCAGGATGAAACTTTGCTCCAGACTTGCCGCATACTAGTATGCCACAGGAACAGTCTGCGGCAGATCTGCGGCAGGATCAAATTTTGCTGCAGACTTGCCGCATACTAGTATGCCACAGGAACAGTCTGCAGCAGATCTGCGGCAGGATGAAACTTTGCTCCAGACTTGCCGCATAC